TGATTTCCAGAGTAAACATTTTCAGTTTCTTAAACAGCATTAGCCATTTGATCTTTGTAATGGAGATGCTGTGTGTTCTATTTGAGATAGGAGCTGAATTTTTAAATATTACGTGGATGAACCTTGTGCTACAAAAGGTTAACAGCGGTCTCTCTCCATGCGTGAGTTTTCGCGGCTAAGTAAGCGGACTCTAATTGGGTTTAACGGTTCTTAATTAGCAGTGAGTAGTTGAAAACGGTTCCATTGACTGTTAGTAGCTCGTCTAAATAACATTTATGAATCCGGTCCGTACCGCGAAGAAAACACCACACTTCACCATTACGTAGATCAACTTTTTAACGCTGTTTAAGGAAATAATCGATGTTTATAATGAGAATTATACGAAACACATAAATACACTGCGTAGGCATCTAAAATATATTTAAGAATTCAGTCCGTACCGCAAAGAAAACACAACTCTTCACCATTACAAAGATCAACTGGTTAACGCTGTTTAACGAAATAATCGCTGTTTATAATGAGAATCGCACGAAACCCATACATACACTACGTAGGAATCTGAATAATATTTAAAGATTCAGTCCGTACCGCGAAGAAAACACAACTCTTCACCATTAAAGATATCAGCTCGTTAACGCTGTTTAAGGAAATGATCGACGTTTATAATGAGAATTATACGAAACCCAGTCACTGATTGTTCTGGCCGGATACAGGATTTAACTACGTGAAATGTAACTTCACTTTTCCAGCATCTTAATATGTGTATGTGTTTATTTAACGACACTGTCTGTATCTCAGGCTATATAGCATCGAATGATGCGACGATTAATGAACTGAAAAGGGAAAGAAAGTAAGCGGATGACCTCATTTAAGGTGCTAAAACCGAATTTGCCTGGAGGGACTGAGGACAACCACGTAAAACTTCGGTTTATGCGATTAGATGTTCTTTCGGCGGTGAAGATGTCGGTGTTGTAACTTTGTGTGGACTTGTAGGTAGATACCAGCGTTTCGGATGCAGTAACTACCTCTATCTTCAGGACGGAATGTATTTATGGGTTTTGTATTGGTCTGGGAAAGAAATCAGGTGTTGCTTTTGTAAGTTGCATTAAGCTGCTTATTTTTTTAGGATGAAGTGTTGTGTTCTCTTTGCGGTACGACAGAATTTTGAAATAATATTCGTGTGAGCTCACGCGTTCGTAGAACAGAGATATGGCAACTGGGTGTTACGCCACGCGTGTGATATGGGTCTGTATTGACAAATGAGATAAAGTTTTTAACAATTCCAGGTGTGTTTACACAATTTCTAACCTGGATTGCTCCCTTTTCCTGTTTCAGTATGTCGTCAGGATGCTCCTATGTGACGTGTCTTATCGATATGTCCTCGTGACACTAACAATATTTTAGTTCGCGAAGTTTGTTATCTCCTGGTCATGAAACTGTGAACCGATACGACCATTTACACAACAATGGTTGATGGATTTGATATTTTCACTTATAGTAATAAGAAGTGACATTGTTGTGTGGATAATATGTTCAAAATTGTCCGTGTATTATTTATATACTATTTATATATCCAGGTGGTTGGTTGTCATCAAAATTAAAACAAACTCACTATAAGGCTTCGACCGGGATGTTCTTTTGTTAAATCTTATGTGGTACCGCCTGATTCGACTTCTAATGGTTAAGTGAAGTGTTTTCTTCGCGGTACGGTCTGGATTCGTAAATATTATGAAGACGAGCTTCGGCTTCAAAGGGTTAACCAGCTGATTTTCGTAATGGTGAGGTGTAGTGTTTTCTTCGCGGTACGGTCTGGATTCGTAAATAATATTCAGACGATCTTCGGCTTTAAAGGGTTAATTGGTGGGTTCATATTTGGAATTCGTGTTTTAATGCCTTTCCTAATATTGCAGTTGGCTCGATATCCAAATTTAAAGCGCACATTCGAAAGAAATGGCATTGTCGCAACAATGGATGTACTCGAAGGCAGGAAACTTGTAAAATATGATAGAACATTCTTCTACTCTTGAACTTACGGACAAACGTGAAAGCCAATTCCATTTAGCAGAGTGCTTCAGAAGATGATAGTCACTCAGACGCGTAAGAAGTTTTCCTTATTTTTAATTATTTTTTTTGGTTGCCGTGTTCACAACAGGCCGCCATTAGACCCTGTCCTGAGGCACAGTAATGCATGTTAAACATCTGTTTAAGATTCGTTTAAATATTATCCTCTCACGTAAGTCCAACTTTTCCGAAGTGGTCTCTCCGGTTCAGGGTTTAGGACTAAAATTTTATGTGCGTTTATGAACACCCTTATTCTTGCTACATACCTGACCAATCTCTTCACCTTTGATTTAATTATCATAATTATATTTGGTGGATACTATAAATTGTGAAGTTCCTCGTTATATGTTTTTATTCTCCTGCTATGTCTGTCACGTAGAAAGATTTCTGCCCTGAAGATGGATGCAGTTTGTTCCTCCGTAACGTCGGTATCTGTTAACAAGCCCACACTGCTTAAGTATCCAGGAGACTTGTCAGTGTTGACTGAATATTGTCGCCAATGTGACGGATTAACTCACTCGATCCCCGTCTAGAAAAGGCGGTACTGCGAGTGTTTGGCTCTAACCAGTCGCTGGCTAGCAAGCCTGCAGAGCAATGACCCGTGTGTCGTCTCGTCAGCTCCGACATTCTGA